ATTGTCTTGATGCACGGATGGGAAAATGGCAGAGAGATTTTAAATCCTGGCTTTTCACCATGCCATATGGAGCTTTTTTTTTTTTTTCCCCCCCTCTTCCCCAGATGAAAACAAGGAATCCTTAACAGCACTTGGAGGGAGATCTTGCTGCTGGGTGTGCGGCCCGGGAAGCTGTTGGCGGGATGGTTCAGGTGGAAACCAACGCTCCCTTCAGCAAGAGTGCCAGGCTGCAGTACAGTACTCTTACCTGCGTCTCCTACAGCGTGTGCTGCATTCATCATTAGTCTCGAGTTCACTGAATTGAATTCTGTTTGGGGATGTTTCATGTGCGTAATTTGAGCTTGCAAATAAGGAATGACAGCGTTTATAAAGATTGTGCTGCGGGCAGCTTAAAAATCACCTAGGAAAGCAATTGTCTTCGGTTTCCTACGGACGGGCGTCATGTCTGCAAATATTAAGGGACTTGCAAACTGAGGTGAAGAGGAGGAGTGAGGAAAGTATCTTTTTTGTTGTCACATATGTAAGGATGAAAGGTGTGAAAAGTGATTCACGTTAAATGTATGCTGCCTGCCTTGCTTAAGGGTGGAAGGGGACTGCTCTTGTATCTGTTGAAAGCAGGTAGATGGGTGGCAGGGACGGTATTTCTGCTGTTTTGGGGACAAGGAAAAGTACTGATGTCCTGTACAAAACAGAGTTTTGAAGAAGTCGCTCTTAAATAAGAGAACCAACCGCCTCTCTTTGGGCGTTTTGTTATGTAAGTTACGGGGTGGAGAAAACAAGTTCTGAGTTTTGACGGTGGAGTTGCAAGTGGAGACTTGGCTGCCGTGATGGCTTTGACTTGCAGTTTATAGAGAACGGCGACGGAGCCCGTGCTGGTGCCAGTCCATGGCATGAGGAACACTGTTCTTCCATTGCATCGGCTATACTGACGGGCATGACTGGTCTCCCACTGCTCATCCTCCTGGTGCTGTTGGACCCACCTCAGTGCAAATCTGCAAGAAGACACGTTGTACGATCGAGGCCTCTTAATTGTTTTGGGTTTTTTTACTTTATTTTTAGTGTATGGGCCACTGGTGAGAGAATACAAAAGTGGGGTTTTTTTTCCAAACTCTTTGAACACCGTTTGTTAAGGAACAAGTGAGTGACTGAAATCTTTCCTGCAAATAGCTGTGACTGTCCTCGCTATGCGTTGCAGAGGTGGGCAGAGTTGTCTGGTGATAAATGCAATGAACTTGGAGTAAAGTCTTGTCTACAGTGGGAAATTTTGCATGTTGTTAGCACCTCTTCTAATATGAAGAGGTTTGGCAACACTAAACTGTTTTAAAAGGATGTTCAAACTCCGGTGAGCTTTTAAGGTGAAAATATTTTAGATACACAATCAGATCACTCCAATTCTTCTTTAAACCTCTTGGTTGAAAAATGCAGAGCCAGCTTCAGAGCATCTGTCACTAATAAACAGTCTTCCGTAGCAGAGAAAATCTCTAAATTAGTACTTGCTCTGTCACGTCGTTGCTGACTTGTTTCCCCTATCACTTACATAAACCAGCAGGATAAACAGGCGGAGGAAATGGCTGGTAATTCTTCTGCATCGTCGCAGGACGATGTTAAGCGCCTGCTGCTGTGAAAAATACTCAGTTCACCTTTTTAAAGAAGATTTGTCTCCTTCTCTTGCTTTTCCTTGTTACTTTTAAACATAAAGGCTAAGTTTTTCTTGTAACTCTGGATGGGGAGGTTTGGAATTGCTTCAGAAATGTCTTTTTTTTTTTTTTTTTTTCTCCTTTGAACACCCTTTCTCCCCTGTGTGACCGTGCTGGTATTCCGGTATCAAAAGGATTGGACTGTCGGCAATTACCATGATCCTTGTCTCCATCCGAGCTTTGAATCCAGCGGACTATTGAATAGGCAAATAAAACCGGCTCGTTCAGGAAGATGAAACGAGGCATCTGACTGAATCGCTAATTTCATTAGAGGGGAGGTTGAGACAGGTAAAGATCAAGAGGGAGGAGATGAATGCGTTTACGCTCAACCCCTGAGATGACTGAATTTGCAGGGAGGGGAGCGCAGAGCAGCCCCCAGCCCCGCTGCCAGGCCCTGTACCTGCAATGCAGTGCGGTGCCTCCGCAGCTAGGTGGTGGAGGCAAAGCCCTCTGCTCCCTCCTCTCGCACAAAGCTTCGCTGCCGTCTGGAGGAAACAGCCCCTCCGCCCGCCGCCGCTCATGTCCCCCCTTCTCCCCCAACCCTGTGGCATCTGACTTTTTTTTTTTATTATTATCTTTTATTTTTAATGGCTCTTTCGAAAACTGTTGGGCTGTCTTCGGGAATATCTTTATCAATGGGAGGCCGTGCTTCATGCAGGTAGGTTATCCCCTTTAAATATGTTTGGGTTTTTTTCTAATGAATTTGCGGTTCTTCAGGCATT